GCAACTCTCTAGCCACGTCTCCACCTAATCCTTCTGCGCTCAGGTATTTGGCGGTGTGGTCTTCGACCCATTGGTAAGAGTGCTGGCCGCAAGGTTGTCGGACGAGGTGCGTGAAGCGTCGGTTGTTTCCAATTGCTGTGCGTCTGACAATGACTTCGTTGTCGTAAGATCCTTCAACGCAGTATGCATACACACGGTTACGAATCTCGCGTGGTAGATGTGTGTAGATGTCTGAAGCTATCTCTTCGACTCGAGGTACAGGAGGTCTATGTCTGTCGTTCCTGGCAGGTCAGCCATGTTCATGTTCTCCTGTATCTGCCACTTACTGCTTCCTAGGTCGGTCCACCAAAAGTTCTATATTCCATACAGCACTCTGCTGTCGCATCATCTCAAATCCGAATAATACGTCGCTATATTGACGCAAGTCGATCATCTCTCCTTGTGGTCGACTGCGCTATCGCATTTAATGTTAGAGAAGCATTAGGCGTTGTGGTCCTTACCATATATACCCTGTGGTCAAACAGCGGTGTCTTGTTCAAAAGTCGGACTCACCGCGCAAATGCACACTGGTAACCACGTGAGAGCTAACCTGCAACGATGCTTTTCGCGAATGGTTTCGCGGTACATTGTCCACTAGTTTCGCCGCCACACGAAGTAATCCGGATTAGGAAAGCATTGCGCATGGCACGGATCCTGTAGGAAGCGGGTAACAACAACAGATGCTTCAAAGTGTAACGTCTAACAGCATAAGCCCGAAAGCAACGCCGCAGTCGCCGATATTAGATAGCCCGAATTGAGGCCTAGATGATGGCCTTGAAACCGACTTCGCCGAACGCATCTGCGGCAGCCTCGAAAGAACCTCTGCTGCGTAAGACTTTCCAATGTTAGTAGTATATGGTAAGCATCTAACCTACGTCCAAGATTTATCGGTCTATATGCGCACACATCTCAATAGCTCGTTTTCGTCTATTCAGCTAGGTTGGTCATGTGAGTAGAATAGGGTCACGTGCACTAGCTTCCGTGGAAGACAAAAAGCATAACTAACCCATCCTTCGGTAATCCTAAGATCGGAAACCTGCACAAGTGCGAGCTCAGTCTAATAAAAGTAAGCCACCCTTCCGATAACTTACCTAGATTGTCCATCCACTACGGTCCGGACCGTGGGTCGATAGGACCCCACATGCGGCACAACACGCTCAACAATAACGGTGAGGCTGCACCGAAGCACAATGACGGCAGACATATGTGCTCAACGTAATGCTCTGATTTCGCGGAGAGTCTGCATCAGCGAAGTTCGATGTTGTCTGACATACGTTGACCGTGCCACATAAGACATCGCCGCTTACATACGCCCCGAATCGCAAATCGCTCACACCGTAAGCAGCACTCAGACCCATCGTTAATCGATCGCAGAGGTAAACCTAAGTTCGACCCATCCACACCTTAGCATTGCAGTTCATGATTGGTTAGGAGCGGGTCCCGTCCTTTTGCACGGCACGTTGCGATCTTTCTCCACCAACCTCTATCATAGCAACAAGGGTAAATGCAACGAAGATCTTCTCTATCCACCGGAGCTGTACCAAGATCTTACTGAGGTTCTCTTACGCCATCATCAAGATCGAAGCTGGGCGTCTTACCCAGTAATCCCGCTACACCCACACTTGCTCGGGAACATCCTTTTCGCTTAGAGCCAAAATCCTTCTGCCACTCGAGTATTCCCGCATCTCCACTACATCATATTGCTATTTGTCACACATTACCCAGCTTTGCGCGTCTGGGCTATCCTCTCTATGTCAAAGGAGTCCTAGACAACGCCCAGAACCGCGGACTCCACACCAAAAGACGATGGGTCCTTGTGAAGATCCTACAGTCTAGTCGGCGAACTCAGTGCCTTCGTTGACTGCCTAATCAGCTGTTTAAGATTTCGGTCCGAGAATACTCGAGCCTAGCATATCTCCATGTTCGACATGTCAGTCACGTAACCATCTGTTGCCGGAGGATCCGGTGGCCCCCAGGTGGTATGATCCTCTAGCGCTTGTATGTTTAGCGTCGCCATAGGACTAGTGTTGCAGCGTTTACACGAGTCCGAAGCATCTGAGCTAACAGAATGCTGACATATTTAGTAGTCCACGGTTATTGGGGTTCGCTATCTCAGCAATCCATTGGCAGACGATCAACATGGCTGCCAATACTATTGGATTGGCTTCCCAGAACCAACAGAGTGAGTGACCACGAAGGTAATGGACTCAGCGATTCCCTAGCGATTATAGTAAGCGCCGGTGCATCGTGCATATTTACCCACATCTTGATCACAAGGTGGCTCAAACGACACACTAGGGGGTTGCCCAGGCCTTTCAAGCTCCACGGATCAAAGGCCGTTGAACTGTTCTGGATCTTGTTGGCGTCGACCTTTAGTGAGAGCAGCCACCGTTGAGAAATATTCGTTACAACGCAGATATCTATCTTTAAGCATGACATCTGCATGCTAAGCAACGTCACAATATTCCGAGACACGATCAAAAAAGGGCTCAACCGGTATCGCCCCGTCAGCGGCACGTTGCCATCGGTTGACGAATGGCTGTTCTGTCTTTACAAGAACGGAAGTCTCTTGGACCGAAAGCACTAGTTGAACCTGTCGGTAGTATACCAAGTCCTTGTGGCTACAGCTCATGTACGTCTATCTAGCGATATCACGCCAATATCGTTTCCAATTCGCCAGGAGTGTTCTTTCAACCCTCGCTAAGGACAACAACGATACTCAATAGACGGATATGCCGCTTTCGGGGCGCGGATTACCCGCTGTACAAGCAATGCCGTAACATATTCAGTCTTTGGCCGGAACTGTTGACGACGAAACTATGTGTGGCGGAAGAGGGGCTGGTTCTGAAAGGATTGATTGGGGCGGAAAACTGAAAGGTCTCGATTGTTATGGGGTGATGGGGCGAACATACGGAAGACAAGAGTTAATGAACCATAAAGAACTTCATATCCCCCTATTAGTGTTGGTCACAAAGAAAAGACCTCTTACTCTGATCACCTGGGCAGGTATGCAAAGCTACTAGCATTGTATAGAGAAACCGGATATCACAAGCTTACATTACACTGGCTTGTCTCAGCTGTTGCCAATCGAGAGAAGACATGTCTTTTGAAAAGGGTGTTGCATGCAACAACAGGACGAGAGCTGTGTATATTACTGGCTTGGGTCATGAGTACCCGTCCCACTCAATCAAGCAGGAGCACTTCATGCAACTGTTAGAGAAATTGCACCCCGACGAAGTAAATTCGCCAATGTTAGTACTCATTACCCTGACGTATGACACTTTTCTCTCCTCTTCTAACATGGCAAAAGTATCCAAAAACTCGGGCGATTCAATGATAGATCAAGAATCCTCTCTCGCCCAACTACCATCGACTTCAATAGATGTACCAGAGAAGACGCCATGCCTCCAGAAATCGATTGGACCTCTCGCATATTTCGCACTTCAGGGGTACGGCTTGCTACCTCTGCGTGCAAGAAGGCTATGCAAGAAGCTCAACTTGGACCTCGCGATATAACGCATACTGTGGCAGTAACCTGCACTGATCAGAACAATCCAGGATACGATCACTTTGTATGTCAAGAGCTTGGGCTTCGGTCAAGTGTGCAAAGGTCGTTACTCCATGGTGTTGGCTGTGCGGGTGGTTTATCGGCGCTTCGTACAGCTGCTGACATTGCCGCCGCGGCATCACTTAGAGGTCGGCCTGCACGCATTTTGGTAATGGCATGTGAGTTGTGCAGTCTCTTTCTTCAAGCAGAGCTGCAAGCCACCCTGCAAGACGGAGAACTACACATAGGTCCAGCACTATTCTCAGATGGCGCTGCGGCGCTGGTGGTATGCAACTATCTTGCATTAGAGGAGAAGCAAACACCGGTGTTCGAGTTGTTAGAGTGGGGTAGCATGGTAGTGCCCGATACTTCCGGACATATGTCTTACGTCATAAAGAAGAATGGTGCGTCTCCGCTTCCCTCTGTTTCGTATACTCTTTATTGCAGATTATTACTGACACTGTAGCAGGCATGATAGCCACCATCAGCAAATTCGTTCCAGAAGCGGCCATCAAGGCCATCATACCCATGTTCAGACATCTTCGCGCCGCCATCGATATTACCCACAAGGCCGCATCGTTGGTCCGCAGTCAGGCTTCAAGCTTCGATTGGGCAATACATCCAGGCGGCGCGTCCATTCTACAAGGGGCCAAGCAAGCCCTGTGTCTCACTGATGACCACATTCGAGCCTCACTCGACGTCTACCAACATCATGGCAACTCATCAAGTCCAACCGTTCTTATCGTGCTAGATAAACTCCGTATGATGGGAGAAGGCAGAGAGAAGGTAGTCGCCACCAGCTTCGGACCCGGGCTTATAATCGAGATGTGCATAATGAGGCGGTGTCGTCATATTTCTGTGCCGCCTCCATTCAAGATCGACAAGCATACCTCTTGGTATGCCTCATGGCTTTCTCTACGAGCGTGCTTGCCGAAAAGAGGGTCAAGAAGGCGGCAGCCGAACGTAAACGAAGTTGTGGTGAAGAAGACGAGGGGGTATGCTCCGATTTTATGGTAGGGAGTAGCAATGCGACTTTTTGTTGTAGTTTTGGTACATACAAGATATATTGAGAGGATTTCAGTATATCAATTGCAGGGTACATGGGACTGTATGTAATTGTCGTCTGAGGCATGCCAAAAGAGACCCTTCGTGATTGTTCTTCCACGTAAAACCACATTCCGAGGCTGCCTATTTAGCATATCATTTGGAGAGTGTGGTCGGTCTCAAGAAATGTCGTGACTAGCACAACGCCGCATTACTATGGTTGCTGTTCGAGTGTACGGTAAAGAGCCGCCCACGGGCCATAAATTAGAGTGGGTCCGATCATGACGTCAACGCGTCTAATCTCCAAACCACGCGACTTGACATATCACGCGTCCTTCATGAACCTGAAGACACAACCTGCAATCCGAATATGGCACGAACACGCTCAAGCAAGTTACACGCTGAGCAAGCTGAAGCACCACCGGCCGTCCAAGGCAACGACATCACCGAAGCCGGTGAGAGGCTGGCAACGCCACCTTCTGCATCGTTTAAGAACAAACTAAAGAAATACCAATACACAGAGACACGGACAATGCAGGATGCTCCACCGTTATCTGCATCGCCGACAAAATCCAGAAAGCGAAGTAGGACGACCGCAACGGCAGCTGTCAAAAGCTGTCCCGAATCGTCCGCAAGACCAAAAAAGAAGCGAATGCCTAGCAGATATGCCGACCCATCCAAATACGCACATCTATCGCCACTGGTCGACATACTTCAGCCCAATCTGATATGTGTCTTCGTTGGCACGAATCCAGGCGTTCAGACCGCCGCCGCCGGACACGCATATGCGCATCCTTCCAACCTATTTTGGAAGCTCCTCCACTCTTCAGGGCTTACCGACCGTCGACTGAAGCCTGAAGAAGACCGGAGTCTCCCTGATCTGTATTGTATGGGCAACACTAATATCGTCGAGAGACCATCCAAAGACGCTGCTGAGCTTTCGAAAGAGGAAACAGCAGCAGGTACCGCGAACCTCGATGCCAAGTTCCTAAAATACAAACCAGAAGCTGTATGTATAGTAGGGAAGGGTATCTGGGAAGCGATATGGAGGTATCGCTATGGTAAAAACCTTGGCAAGAAAGATTTCAAGTACGGATGGCAGGATGAAGAACACAATATGGGCAAAAGCAGGGATGACAAGGAAGAGCGAGATACCAACGGGAATGTATGGAAGGGGTCCAGGGTATTTGTTACCACGAGTACAAGTGGACTAGCGGCGAGTCTAAAGCCGGCCGAGAAAGAAGCTATCTGGAAGCCCTTTGGGGAATGGGTGCAGAAGCGAAGGGCTGAACGGAACTTTGTACCTCGGCCTTTGGAGGCCCAGGAGGCTAGTGACGAGACGCTAGAAACTTGAGCGCTGTCAGTTACGGAAACTGCCGCCACATGTCGCTGAAAGACTCAACAGTTGAACAGCTCTACGATACAAACAAGCAAAAGATCACGGCCAAGCCTTCTGTCCTCCCTCACCATATCAGAGCAATGAGTAAATAGACTTCTCCGCCGTCTTATTTACGAACCTTGAGAGTCACGACTTGTTTCGCTGTTCAAAGTCACAACCTACCAGATGAACCAACCCATGACTTTGGTACTGACAACCCCGGGGTCCCATTGCTTGTATCGAGACTGCGCCTCAGCCGCGCCACAAGAAGACGACAGATTGTCTCGTTGGTTATTTTCGAGATCCTTTTTACGCCAAGCCGGCTCTCTTCCAGAGTAACAAACTTCGGTTTTCGGACCGCAGACTCTCCACTTGGTAACCGACGGCGTATTGACTTGGCGCCGGACGCATCCGCGCCGTTCAAGGTCCGCCGTACGTACGCCGCCGCGGATTTCGGATCTCTTGGCGGTAAAATCCTCGCATGTCATACCTCACGAGTAGCACTCTGACAGCAGCTGCTCAAGCGGCATGACGTTGTCAGAATACTAATCTCGTTGTTGTTATCCCAGAAGCCAAATCGACTGCATCCCCATGATTTGACTGAGCCACCATGACTGGACCGTCTAGTATTGCCTGCTGAAAAAGTGGCGCCACAACTAAACTATATCGAGAACTAGCGCGCGGAAAACACGGCAAGTTTGTATTGCAACTGCACCTCACATCGCAGCGTGCGTTTCCTAAAACGGATTCCAGAACCCGCTCTCTTTCAAAGGAGGTGGGTGAGAGGGGCTTCAGAGAGACTGTGTACAATACTTCTGCTCCACGTCCATCACATTTGTGAGCAGACTTGCCAGTAACACCACACGACACATCAACGCATTGCAAATCACACCGTCCACACCTGCACATGCATATTACCACGCAATCAAGTCATGCACCTCAGATACCAAGACTTTGCATACGCGTATGACAAGGGTCCTGCGCCTACCGTTACAGTAGTGGCTTGCTCGACCCCACCTGTGCCATAGCAAGCCCGAGCGAATGCCACAGTTACGCGCCATTGCTGCCACACCTGTGGCGCCGAGCAAAGCTCATCCGCAGTATCTAGGTGTATGAGCTCTATTCGGGCATCTACGCGGTCAATTGAAATGAGCACGTTGGTTCGTGCATAGCCTTTCCGCCCTTTACGTTGCAGATCCGCTGTTGCCGTTTGCCGAAAGCAACAGCCAGCGCGTCGAGGCCTGTAATCTTAAAAACACGAGTTCATCCCCCAAGATTCTAACATCACTGTGCCACATCCCTCTGCCACACTTCCTCTGCCACAGAGCACACTTCATATTCTGCCACACCACAAGCCTCACCAAGACCCGCGATACGCTTAGACGCTTCACCAGCCACGAACCCGCATCTCTATTCCAACGTCAAGTCGACAACACCACAACAGCAAGTATGAGCTACCCGGCGCCTCAACAACCTGGTTACTATGGCCCGCCACCGCAGCAGGGCTATGGACAGTACCCTCCTCCCCAACAACAGGTAAGTCTTATGAAATATGCATGCTCCTGCCTGAGTCAAGTTTGCGCAAGTTGAGGGTGTGGCTGACGGTGTATTTGGCACAGATGTACTACCAACAAGGTCCGCCTCCGCCTCAAGAGGAACCAAAGAAAGACAGAGGATGCTTGACTGCTTGCCTTGCGACTTTGTGCTGCTGCTGGCTCTGTGGTGAGACATGCGAATGCTGCCTCGATTGTCTAGACTGCTGCGACTGCTGCTAGTCCGCCTCTCCAAGTATGCGACAACGATAACGGCGGTTCATTGGGGAAGGAGTCTGGAAAACGAGACGATCACACGCTCACTACATTTCCTTGATGTAAGGGCGCGTATATCCACCGGGCTTCGATGATGGGCACACCAGGGGGAGGACTTGATTTAATGGCTTTGGTTTGTCACTGCAGTGGCAATGGAGTTAAGTGGTATTGCTCTTAGTGTTTGTTGATACAAATCTGAAATTCACTTCTATCTCATTATGCTCCCCTTTCCATCTTCGAGTGAGAGAATCACAAGTTGGCTGAAGCTATGTTGACAATAACCCATGTTTCATGACTAGTGTTAGGAAATACCTGCCGTTACGCTCGTGAACACATACTTCGATACCGACCGATCCAAACGAAACGACCAGCCAACCAAAACCGCCGCGGTTAGTCCTCGTAGTTCTCTTCAAGTTCTTCTTGATAAGCCTCCTGCGCTTCGATGAGTTCCTGGCGCTTCTCCTCCATAGACTCCCGATCGCTACTTGAGATGGAGGAACCGTCCTCGTCATGGGTTGGGACTGGGGGAGGTTCTTCAAAGGCCGGGTGGTTCTCATAAGGATCCGATGGAGGAGGAGCACCATAAGCAGGATCCGCTCCGTAACCAGGGTCAGCGCCGTAGCCACCTGCAGCCGCAGCAGGAGCCGCAGGTGGAGGAGCATACGACTGTTGCTTGCTCTCATCGTCGCTGTCGTCAGCTGGGAAATGTTAGTGGCAGAATTTTGTATGAAAGCTGTAGGGGAAACAAACCGAGTTGATGGCCAATAAAGGCACCGGCTGCAATACCGCCGACACCAGCGGCAGCGAGCATGGCAGTAGAGTGGCCGCTCTTCTTCTTTTCGGCCTCGTTGGTGGCTGCTCCAGATGGCGTGTAGTCGTGTCCCTGGTGGCCATGGGTGTTTCCGAAAAGGCCACGTTCATCGTGACCACCGGGTGGCATGTAAGGTGCGCCTGCGGGAGGAGGAGCATATGCTAGATCCAGGTGTACAAAGTCAGTTCATGTCTCACATGCAGCTCGTTCGGGGACACTTACGGCCAGGTGGCAGATGCGAAGGAGGATCCCACTGTGTGCGACCAGTGGCTTGTTCAATGTAGAACCAGCGCTGGCTGTTCTGGTCCCATTGCTGTGTCCAGCCTGGCGGCATTGGTGGAGGCGCTCCGTAAGGCGCAGGTGGGCCTACGGGCGTAGGAGGGCCACCATATGGTTGTTGTTGCCCATAGCCTTGAGGTGGGTAACCTTGTCCTTGGGGTGGGTACCCTTGAGGAGGACCCTGAGGCGGATAACCATGGCCCTGGGGCGGGTAACCTTGATCTTGGGGTGGGCCGCCGTGTCCACTTTGTCCGTAGTAGCCATCAGAGAGTGCGCGGTCACCAGGACCAGCACCGCCTGGAGCGCCATGAGAATCTACTGAGATTAGTGTTGTGCTTTACATTGATACAGCAGATACACATGCCGGCTGGCTTCTTATCGTCATCATCCATGAGCTCCTTCATCTTCTTCTTGAGGAAATCCATGATTTTGACTTGTTATCTAGCAAACGTAGCGCTGGTCTGTAGCAATACAAAGAGACGTCGTGCGGGGTAGTAGGAGGTACTGAGAAATGAGAAACTTTAAAGCTTTTGATATGCGCGGGGTGCAAGTGGCTTTAAAGCAAACGGATCCTGTGCACAGTCCGTTGCCAGCGGGGCATCTCAGGACGCCCCCGGAGCGCACTGCCCCAGTTGTCTTTGAGCAAATCGCTCACGCTGTACATGCTTGGCATGATGCAGAGGGGAAGGAGCATGGCTTCGAGTGGAGGGGCATGTCAAAGCTGACCACTCCACTGGCAGGCGGGTGGTAAAAGTGGGGTGATAAAACGGCCTGATACGTCTGGCGGCTCGCCGGAGCTCCATTGTTTGTAAAGGCTCCATTAGTGAAGCTTGGCGTGGATATATGAAGCTTTCTTCGCTGCGCGTTCAGTGTTATGTCAGGGTGTATGCTGTTGGCATTCCGCGACGGCAAGTTACGCAAAACTTGCAGTCGATTTTATATTCTTAATCTTTGATGGGTCCAATGTTCGACTCAGCTCCGGCAGAGTATAAAGGGTCTGCTTCATTCGGGGATCCTCGTATCATAATCGATGAGCTGGTGAGTGGTAACATGTGGTTGGTGACTGAGGCTTAGCGGATCGCATGCGCCATTTATTGTGGCACTTCTGCCACCGTGGCTAGATTATGAGGCGCACCACGATAGCCGCGAACACCAGATTTCGCATGCCGCGTGATGTCAGTAGGGAACACGAGGGGCTTGCACATGTTGCACCGCTGTACCGTTACACCACCGTATCGTTGCATCGCTGCATACATACGTAGAATTGTTGTAGTAGGCGCGGCCGGCAATGAAGTTGAAGGTCTTCCTAAGTCAGTAGGATATCCCTTCCGTGACAAATTTGGCAATTGCGAGAGAAGTGCTGATAATAATATGAAGATGTCCGGGCAGCCCGTACAAGGGCACAGGTTGAGTTTCCAATGCCGGGGTTCTGGTTCGAATGGTCTTCTCTTAACCTGGTACAGTGTGCGTGTATTCACGGGTTCCAGGGTGGACTGGCAGGTGTCGCGCAGTCGTGACTCGCGACCTTGAACACCTCATCGGGCCGGAGGCGGAACGGTACGCACACGTGGGCATTACGCAATTCATCAAGTAACAAGGCGACCCTGGGCCAAAAGCCGCCGAGGATTAGCCATAGACTGCGCTTGCACGACTGTTTGGTGTTTTGCGTCTGGCAGTCAGACGACTGGATGGCGAAGAAGAGGACGAGACGCTTGGCATTGTTTTTGTGTATCGCGGATGGGAAAGAGCCTCCCGAGGTTGGGGAAAGAGCCACCGGCACGCCGGTCTAAATTTGAGCCGGACAAGAAGGCGGGACAGGAGCATCAATGAGACGTTTGGCTAGGCGTGAATAGTAAACAACTAGACGCAAAGCATCAGGAGAGTCCGAAAGTGATTGCAAGTTAGGTTGCGTTGGGACGAATGGGAGGACGGGTGGATTGATGGGGTCTGTGTTGCATGGTCTGAGCCTTGGGTTCTAGAACCAGATCCATGACGTCGTCTCCATCAGAGGGTGACTCGAGGACCGCCAACGATACCCAGCGGAAATTACGCCAGTCGCGAATGGCATGAATGGACATTCGAAGAATGCCATGTGTGGTGTCATAGCCCTGTCTCGAAGGCGATGCAGCCCTGAAGCAGCCTGGAGAGTATCGCGCGGTTGTTCCAGCTCCAGCCCACGTCGACTGCGATCGCGATCGACCTGTTGCAGGGGAGGCCAAGCACGAGCACAAGCGAGATCTGCGGCCTCTTGACCCTCCTGTACACTCCGCCAGATGCGATAGCTGAAAACAAATGTGCAGAGCGTCTTCATGATGCCCTGAGGACACGACATCCATTGAATTACCACTGCCATCGTCATCGTCGCCGCGCTACCTCACCACCGCCCTGATCACCAGACCCGAGCCTGCGAGACCCCCCGAATTGTGCCGCGGTGTCAAGATACTTAGCGCGCAACGCTGGCCATCCCACCGGTGTCATCTACTCGGTCCATACGCGGTGAGACTTGATGCTAGATCTGGAGACGACGCTCCACCACACCGACCTTTGCTCGTAGCGTGACGTTCGTGAGCGCGATCAACGGCCTTTGCCCTATCTGTTGACTCGCATCCTGGCATTTCTATGTGGGAGCCGCGTTCAATCTTCACAGGTACTAACACGACATCGACGCCTCACGACACCACGCCCGAACAGCGTAGACTGAACATCGCCAGCCATCACGAGCCTCTCGCTACCACGCCCGGCACTCGAGAGTCGCCCATAGTCCTTGATACACCAGCCAATCTCCCCGTACTACAGCCCCCATGGACGCCCAAGTCGCCACTTGACCATCGCGACTGGAATCAACCTCCGGCTTCTGCGCCGCTGCAGAGCAGTCGACGACACAGTGGGAAGCAGCAGCCTGTGCGGACACCACCAGCTGTCGTTGGCATCAAGCGCCCCCCTCCCTTCAGTGACTTCGCCTCCGCGTCTGCGTCGTCTGCCCACCCACCAGCGCCCGCCAGCGAGCCCTTGCACAAGCGCCGAAAAGCGCACCCGCGTTCGCGATACTCCCTCGACCACTTCAGCTTCTCCAAGAGCGCCTACTTTCGCCCGGACGGCCAACCGCCCTCGCCCCTCTTCTTTTCTTCGCGAAACAACCGACCACAACTGCCCGCGCGCTTCTCGAGTAGCGAGGCAGCGGCAAGGATGCTCAGCAAAACGCGCGAGGACAGTGGCATCAAGACCGTCACACTCGCAAGGGGAACATTTAGCGGTCTCAGCCCCCCAGGGCCACCAGGGGTTGCCAGTGGGCGCACTTCAGAGCGTTCAAGCGTGGCGCCTACCGCATCGCCTGATTCGCGCGACAAGAGTGATCCGTTGCGCATACTCGGTTCCGTTGGCATAGTCGAACTGCTCGAGCAAGATGAGCGGCCAACTTTCATCGTTGATACGGGCGATTTCGCAAATTACATGCCCGAATCTTCCCGGTTGCAGATACTCTTCTCCAACAATGCCCTTCGATCTAACCCGTCCACCTGGGAGCTGGTAGCTGGAAGGCCGACTGGTTCTCCGTCTGATGATGATACGGGGCATGCGACACAACAATTTCGAGGCTGGTTGCTTAGCACTGGGGTCCAGGCCGATTCTTCCGAAGTGAACCCTTCTCCTGTAGAACATGGTGGCATTGTGTGGACATGTTACACTCTTCGAAAACGGCTGCGCGTCGTCTCTGGTTCCATCTCCGCTCCTGCCATCGTTTTGCCTGCTTTGGATGGACCCAACGATTTTGCTATACCTTCGGCCTCGTCCGCAGGTCTCGGTTCGGGGACCAACGGTGATACCACTTCATCTTCCGCTGATCAGGGTGAAGCACAGGATTATTTTGGTAGCACTATTCCTAGTATTCCCCAGGGGGCCCAGGGTGAACCGACTCCTCCCATCTCTGCACCCCAACCTGAGCCGATTCAAAAGAAATTCGTCAACCAGGGCAATGGCATGATCCCAAAGCCATCTCAAATAGACATATCGTCAGTGGAAGAATCCTCTTCCTTTGCGAACGAGTGCGTATTGCGAGCTCACACTGCAGGCGATGTTGACCCGTTCCATAGAGAAACTAACGCCCATCGGGATGATCACCACGACATGGGCTTCTTCGACTGGACCAGACTGGCAATGTCGCCCTCCCTTCCTAGACACATTCAGTTTGCGCGCTCAATTGATTGGGCGAGCACACCTTTAGGTCCAATCGAGTACTGGTCTAATGACCTTCGCGCTATGTGCAATCTTATAATGTAAGTCGATCAGTCTTATACGCACCTTCTCAGTGTAAATACTGACAATGACCAGGGCGAGCCCCCACCCAGCTGCTATGTACTGGGGAGAAGAACTCGTTGCTATTTACAACGAAGCCTATATTGGTATGATCGCCTTCTCCAACACGTCTACATGTATTAACGTCTCGACTAGGACTCGCAGGGCAAAAACACCCCGCTCTTATGGGACAGAGTTACAAAGTGGCTTGGGCGGAGATATGGGACGATGTCAAGGGAGTATTTGCCAATGCACGTCTTACCGGGCAAGCGACAATGAAGGACGACGATTGCCTGTTTATGAAACGCAACGGGTTCCTCGAAGAAACATACTTTTCGTGGTCCATCATCCCCATGGTCGGCCAAGACGGTACGGTCATGGGTCTCTACAACCCCGCTTTCGAAAAGACACGCCGCAAAATTGCAGAAAGACGCATGCTCACGCTCCGCGAAGTTGGCGAACGGACTGCCACCGCTCGGGAGGTCAAGGGCTTCTGGGATCAGGTGTTAATAGCACTGACCGAGAACGAGTTCGATACCCCGGTAGTAATGCTCTACAGCGTAAACGATGAGAATGACAGTGACTCGTCTTCTATACAATCCAGCAGCTTGCTAGGTTCGAAACAGTGTTTCCTCGAAGGCTCCTTAGGCGTCCCAGCTGGCCATCAAGCTGCTCCTGAGCAGATTGACTTGAAGGAAGGGCAAGAGGGCTTTGGTCCCGTCTTCCGGGAAGTAATGAAGACTGACAAGCCCGTGGTTGTTAGCATCGGATCAGGCGATCTACCGCATGCCATGATGGACGGGCTGGACTGGCGAGGTTTTGGCGACCCCTGCAGAGACGTCGTCATATGCCCAATTCATCCTACGACAGGCGAAAACATACTTGGCTTCTTGGTCATGGGCATCAATCCGCGGAGACCCTACGACGACGATTACAACCTTTTTGTCCAATTATTGAGCCGCCAGTTAGCCACTTCTCTAGCTTCCGTCGTTCTTTTCGAGGAGGAAATTCGAAGAGGACAGAGAGCAGCACGCCTCGCAGCAGAAGATCGTTACAACCTTTCAACCCAACTTGCTGCACGCACACAGGAAGCCAGGGAAAGCGAGACGAGATTTACGCGAATGGCGGAGCTGTCTCCTGCAGGTCTCTTCATCGCTGATCACGTCGGAAAGATAACTTACTGCAACGATACATGGTACGAGATCTCGCGAGTACCAAGAGAGCCAGAGATGACGGACAGGTGGATCGACTACGTCAAGGACGAGGATCAAGGCCTCATCCTTGCGCATTGGAAGGAATTAGTCAACGACACTACGCCTATCAACATCGAGTTTCGCTTTAAAGCACCTTGGGAGGACCGAAACCGCAACAAAAGTGAGACCTGGGTCCTGTTCCAGGCCTATCCAGAGAAGGATGACGATGGGCAACTCAAGAGCGTTTTTGGAAGCATCACAAACATCTCACCTCAAAAGTGGGCCGAAGGCTTCCAAAAGCGGAAGATGGAGGAAGCTGTCGAACTCAAGCGACAACAGGAGAACTTCATTGACATAACATCGCACGAGATGAGAAGTAGGATTCTTCCCTACATCAACCGCTTATGAGTATATGCTAACGTCTTACAAGATCCTTTATCTGCTATTCTGCAGTGTGCCGATGAGATTAGCACCATCTTAGGCGACTTCAGAGCTTCAGGTTCCAATGTCATCGAGGAAGGCATTGTTGCCGATTCGATTGATGCGGCACAAACAATCGCCTTATGCGCACAGCATCAAAAGCGTATCGTCGACGACGTTTTGACGTTATCAAAGCTCGACAGCGCAATGCTCATGGTGACACCAGTGGACGCTCAACCCTTACAAGTGGTGCAACGTGCGCTGAAGATGTTCGAAGGAGAGGTGCAAACAGCTGGCATTCAGATGGAGTTCGTCCTGACCGACTCATTCACCAAGCTCGGTGTTGATTGGGTGAAGATTGACCCCTCACGAGTGCTTCAGGTACTCATCAATCTTACCACCAACGCGATCAAATTTACGACCACCGAGGAGACCAGAACCATCAAGGTCGTTCTATCAGCATCGCGAGTACGTCCATCGGCAAGCGAACATCCTACCGTTAGCTATTTTCCCATGCGAGCCAAGAGGACCGACCAAACTTTTGGACCTGACTGGGGTGATGGTGAAGAGATCTTCTTGGAATTTGCAGTACGGGATACTGGCCGGGGCCTTACGCCGGAGGAGAAGAAGCTCCTTTTCCAACGCTTTTCTCAGGCAAGTCCACGGACACACGTCCAGTACGGCGGATCTGGCCTCGGCCTGTTTATCTCCCGCGAGTTGACAGAGTTACAAGGTGGAGAGATTGGCGTCTCTTCCGAAGCAGGCAAAGGCAGTACATTCGCGTTTTATGTCAAGTGTCGGAGGAGCAGCGAGCCACAAGAAGCTTTGGAAGTCCTTCCAACTCCATCAATGTCCAGGAAGGTGTCGAATGCGAAGGACAAGGGCAGAAAGGAGCTACCTATTCCGTCGAAGATCGCAACCAAAATCAAAGATTTTGCTGCTGTGCCTGGCAAGGATAGCGTTGGTCCAAAGGCCAAGCCAAAGAAGAGGGAACTCAAAGTACTAATCGTGGAGGACAATCTTGGTACATGACTAAGACTTTCCCTGCCAGTTTACTTTTACTAACATACCGCAGTGAACCAAAAAGTCCTTCAGCGCCAGCTCCAAAACCACGGCATCCAAACGACCGTCGCAAACCATGGCGGTGAAGCACTTGAAGCGCTCAAGTCTTCTACTTACTGGGCCTCACCCAATCAATCTCCCTTGGAGGACATATCAGTCGTGCTAATGGACAAAGAGATGCCAGTCATGGACGGTTTACAATGCACCTCGCAAATTCGTGCCCTTGAACAACAGGGCAAGTTCAAGAGGCATGTTCCTATCATCGCGGTTACGGCAAATGCGCGCAGTGAACAGATCGCGACATTGCTCGCTGCAGGCATGGATGATGTCGTCAGCAAGCCGTTCAGGATCGGTGAGCTGATACCTAAGATCGAAGAGCTAGCAAGCAAGTTCGGAAGCAAAAGATTGCCGGACGAAGCTTCACTCAACGTGCCCGCTGGGCCGAGTGAACAGCCCTACGGCGTATGAAAGACATGCGTTACGACTCAGCGTACTTGGAAGACAAAAGTATTTTTTGGGTATACGTCTACGACGATGGTTACGGTGACGCTCACGCATACAAGAGCTGGGCTCGACGGTGTTACGGAGTCTTCACATGGTGCATTGTCCCTAGCATGCATATCGGCATTTGATATGGGTTGTTATCTAATACGGTTTTTGGTCCCTCGGTAATAGTTATGCATATGGAATATACCCCCAGGGAGGTTCAGGCGTTGGTTGAAAGATGGCATATACACGCAAGCACTACGTAGTCAGTGCAATCAAGAACTAAGACTATGTGCAGGCTTTGGTTGCTGTGGGTGTGAGAGCGCAAAGTGAAAACTCGTGGCCTCATCCTGTAAAGCGCGTCGCTCTCTTCTCATCTCCCACTCATACCCTCATCTGCCTCTTCTCTCAATCTACGCGTCTTACCCCCACAACCTTATTTAACCTACCTTTCACCCCTTCAACTACTCCTCTTAGATCTTCAATATCTCTTCCTATATCTGACACCATACTCAATATCTCACCCACCTTATGCGCTGTCCGTCTACCCTCCACTCGGCTCAAGTCAGTACTCAAGCTGATCACGTCAGCCTTGCGTCGCACCCAAAGCCAACGACGTTGAAGATCGCAATTAGTATATTCGAAGCCTAGGCGATTGCTGTTATGTAGATGGCTAGCTGAGGGCGAATCGTCATCTGAGTACGGGTGATACTGCGCTGCATAAGGCGATTTCTCGGATGGATGATTTGACGATTGAATTGACCATCACGCCGGGTCTTGGGGTTGATACTCAGGCTTGAAGAACGGATGCTCAAGACCTCGGAACGTTTGAATAAGATCGCGGACGGTGACACGCATCACGCTCAACGCCTCTTCTTCGCCACTGGATCTCATCCTCTGAATGTCGCGGTCAAAATGCATCGTTTCCTTCCTGCTACCCCCTCTTCCTCGTCTACTTTTCTTTCGACCTCCGTTCGCATGCTTGCCACCACTATATCCACCATAGTATTCCTCGGAATCGCTTCGGGCACCAGGACCATGACTGCGATCTCTCCTCACGTTCTTCAGTCTTCTTCTTACTTTTCTCAAGTGTCTCCTCTCCTCCAGCAGACCTTGTTTCAGGCTCGACAGTGTGTCCTTGATCTCTTTTGGAGCCGCTTGGAAAGTCATGAGATTTGACCAGGAGACTTTTAGTAAGGTCGCAAGTGTGAAGGTAAACGAGACAAAGCCGACGATCGTCGATACCATGGATAATGGCGAGAATGCTGTGTGAGATACTGTAACGCCCATAGCGTATAGTTGTGTTGTTCTAGTGACTCGAGGCGCCTACGAACAGTCTAATTCTGTATGAGTAGATTTTGTGATAAGCTGAGCCAATTGGCCTTTACGAACGTCAACGGACCTCTGTCGCGTTCCGAGTTCGTGGGAATGCCGGCAGCATGTGTTGTTTACGTCGGCAAGACGCGATTCTTGCCCCGAGTTATTTTCAAACGTCATGACTTGTCCACTTCCTTAACAACGGTTGCTGGCGCCGATCCAATCGCCCGTAGGCTAGCGTGTTGATCTGCCAGCGTCTTGGTCGGTTTGCCTATTCAGGTACGAAGGAATCCCTTTTTCTTCTAGTGCACTGAACACCGAAACCAATATTTCACAGGCACTTATTTTGTGAGCAATACAGTCATATGCGGTAGATGTACTGGGTGATGCAAATACTCTTCTTACACATGGTGGTGCCTTTGGTTGTCTGCGCGACATGTCGCACAAAAAGGGTTGTTGGCTCGCGTTTCGAAGTATCTAATTTCGCTTTTGCGAGACTATTATCGAGAGAAAACGCGATCAGGTATCATACACATCTATGTTTACACATGCTTAGAACTTGTAGACCTGGTCCTTGCTGTAACCAAGCTCCTTCAGATAACCGTCAAGCTCGCCCTGGTCGCTGGGGCTCTTCTTGCCTCCACTGATAGCCTTGTACATGCCTGGCGGTCCGCAGACAAACAGCTTGATCTTGTCACCCTCCTTGGGCTCAGGCAAAACAGTCTTCAGGAGCTCCTTGGTCACGTATCCCTTGCCGCCTTGCCACGACTCAGGCGGGTTGTCCAAAACGTAGAAAGCGCGGAAGCGCTGGGGATATGTGTTCTCCAACTCCTCCCACTCGCGCTTCAACAGGATATCCTCTTCTGAGACGTTGCCGTATACGAGCGTAACCTTGGTCTTGTCCTCAGGGTTGCGGAAGATGTGTCGTGCAGTCTGCCACATGGGGGTGATACCGGTGCCACCAGCGATCAAGGCAATGTGCTCGTGCATGTTGGGCTATACACGTGGTATTCTGCGTCAGTTTTTGTTTTACAGTTGGGGCAACTGGGCGGCTCATACCTTCCACTGGAACTTGGGGATGGGACCCTTGATGTCTAGCCGTTGGCCTGGCTCCATGCTGTGCATGTGCTCAGACATAGGACCGTTGGGGTAGGCCTTGATGATGAAGTCGACGGAGCCCTTCTGGTCTACGTCGCTGATGGGTGTGTATGGTCGGATGACTGGCTTCTGCATCTCGGGGCCCTTGTACTTGGTAATTACGGCGGCTGTAGGAAGTCAGCATGTGGTCTAGCCAGTATTCTTGGTTGTCCAACATACAGGCAACGGGCAATCCGCTCTCCATATCCTCCTCGGGCAGCTTGAACCGGAGCTTCTTGGTGTTGTGGTTGACAACCTCGGTGTTCTCCAGCACTAGTGATACGAAGCCCTGGTCGCCTCCAGTGAAAGCCTTCTTGACCGAGCCGTCGGTAGAAGTGGGGATCTTCTTGGCTTCTTCTGAGGGCGGCGCATTGCCTTTCTGCCCCGACGGCGCATCGCCGCCCCTCATGTATAGGTAGGCACCAGCGAGACCAGCAGCGCCGATACCTGTGTAGAGGACACCATTGTTGCCACCGCTCTTGGGCGGCTCGGATGCGTAACGGCGGACTTGCTATCTCTTGTTAGTACTTTACACAGAGACTGGGAAGATTTGTAATGTCGCGTTCGGTGAGAATGTGCGCGCATACCTGGTGCAACGTCCTGGCCGGGCGGAAGATCTGTCTAGCAAACATGGCGAGACGAATTGATGTGACGAAGAGGGGATGGAAGGAGAATTGAGGTGTCTAGAGAAGAATAAGCGTTATCCAGGTGCTAAGGCCGGAGCTCATTGTAAGCTAGCGCCAAGCAGTAAACGTCATCGCGGGCGCTCTTTTGCCGACCAGTCCGAACTCAACACCATCGCCAACATCTATCATCTCGTCGGTTTCGAGCGCATACTCAGCAGCATTGCGATAAGATACATTCGTTGGGACTCCTACATCAACGTTGTTGGACCTCGGGAACGAACAGCACAGATAATGTCTTTGGCACTTACGACCATAGCGGAGCTCAATGATATGGAACCGAGAGACGGCCCGCGCCCGGATCAATCAACAGTATGAGGATTTCATCGCTCTGGCACCACGAAATGATACAAACAGAACACACGCAACACCCATGCGCGCGATATGATGCAGTTATGGCTACTAAAACTTTCACCAAAATCGCGGTCAACACGATGAACATCCAAGCTGAGCGATCCAACGTGCATGACAATTATGCCAAAATGGCTTGTGTATGGTTAGGCAGCTTCTATGGTACATGGAGGTGAGATATCATCGCATTTACTTTAGACCAGCATGTTTCGCCCCCTCAGGAGGTCGAAGTCGTCAAGACTTTCGATTACACAGTGCCTACCAAGATCGTTGGAAATGAGCAAGCCTCTTACGCCGCATACATGGACCCGCATCAGCCTTCGCTGACTGTTCGGGACCACACAATTCTCGAGCCTAGGGAAACCATTAAGAAGTATCCGTCTAAGCTTGTGATATCATAGGCGATAGGCACTCATTGGTATAAGTAGGATCGAAGGTCCGAGTGAATGATGAAAAGCTCGGTCCAGCCATGTCGCATTGACCGTCGCACTCACTTTTGCGGCTCGCTCGATCTGATGAGACTATTCTTCTTGACTCGTATTTCTACTCACTTCTAACATCGACGCTCCACCATTCTTAATCGAAATGGCCCTCAGGCATCTCTGGGTGCCTCGTTGCAGACCACTTGTCTTTCACGTACCATCGGATCGTTCGATGGTTCCTAGCAAAACGACTTTCTTCCGCTCATACAACGTGACTCGCGATTGGGATCATAAGGAGGACTGATCGCTTCTCCTGATTGACCGAGTACACAACCGCTACCACCATGGACGATCTCGACCGCAAAAAAAGTCCTACAGCTTGCGTTATTCGAGATTAGCTACCATGGAGCAACCATGCCATCATGGCTACACTTGTGTACCCAATATTACTCCCGACTTGTCGATCTCCGTTTGTGCGGTCTGCTTCACAGAAGCTCGTATTGCTGAAGTGAAAGCCATGCAGGCTGTGTTGTCTCGCCGTGGTGGTATATTCGGTTCTTCCAACGCGGGAGGAGAATGGTGTACGGCCAAGTGCAATGCTAAGAGGTGGATGACGCATAGGGATTGGACTAAACAGTGGAGGAAGACAAGACTCAACTGTTGGAGACTTGAGGCAACACTGGAAAAGTTACAGGACGAACGTTGCGATATGGCAGAACAATGGGGTTTAGACGAGGCGTTGTATATCTGGGAGCTTGCAAAAGATGAGTGTAGCCAAGTACCTGCTTATGGTCGTACAGGGAATTTCTTTCCAACGAACGTACAAGATACACAAGCCGTCTTGAAGTCAGCACCTACGGAAGAACAATTATCTGGAGAGGATTGGAAGACGGTTAAGTGTAGATGGAAGAAAAGATCTCAGCTACTGAAGAGTTTACCTCAAGACGAGCCCAAACAAGCAGTCACCAAAGAGACGAACAGCGTCGTCAACAGACTGAAGCATATGGGTTGTACTTCGGGGAACTGCTTCAAAGCTCTCGTCAAGCATGACACAAACGTAGTAACAAAGCTTGCCGAGCCGATAGAAAGACCACGATATCCTCCCGGCGGCGACGCAACACCCAAAACACCCGACTCTGTTCGAGAGACCACTTGGATGGAGCCTCGTTCGGCACTGAAGTGTAACTCGCCTTCGACTTCCCGCTCACACAAGTCAGTCGTTATCAACGCACAGGCTACAATTCTTCCACTTGATACCACACCGGTTACGACAACGCCACATCACGAACACACAGTTGCAGAGAAGAGCCACAGACGCCTCACGTATAATCGAAACTCAGGTTCCTACATACCGTCATGCTGGGCAAGTCCAGAAGGATACGAAAAATACAATACTAGCCATTGCAAGGACACCTGTGCGACTATAGATCGGCTCCAAAAGAAGTTCACGACATTGGAAGAGGAAGAACAAGAATGTTGGGACGAGGAGGATGAGACGCTCACGGAAGAAGGTGAGAAAGCTGCCATTGAAGAAGGAGAGGCATCAGATGAGGGAGAAGAAAACATTAGGTCCCCCTTTCAAGCACGGTTACCGCCATGGCAGCCTGGACAGAAGATGTGCAGTATGAAGCAGAGTCTGTGAGAGCATCAACGAAAGGCTAGACTGCGTTGGAAGACAATGAAGATAGGAACGGCCAACAGCGGTCCTTGATCGGCTTCACCGGCTAGATCTCTGGAAGGCTTCCAGGGACCACGATGGTGCTTTGACGTTGGAGGAGGCAAAGAAGGCATGTGTATATGCAGAGAGTGGCCGACAGGCGATACAAGGGGTGTATGAGGATGATCGCATATCACGATAAGTGTGAGAGCGTGAGTAGAGGATAGAGTGAGCTGGCGTCCAATTATATTCGCACTACCTTAAAGAAAGAAACTAAACATCTCTTTCGAGCAAAGTACTTCTACCTGCTATAATAAAGCCTGTTAGAACCTTCTTAGACATAGATAGAGAATCTAGAAGTATATAATACTATCAATCTTTCTAAAATTTCTTCTTAGAAGCTAACGTAGGCAGTAAACTAGGGCATGTTATTCTTATACCCCTTTAAGTTTTCTATTGTATACGGTGGTCGCAAACTATGGAGAGGCTTGCTGTAAAGAGGTATAACTGCTGGTACTCTTAATAAGTGACTCGCTGTGTATACCAAATTGCCTGTAAAAAGCACCGAGAAACTTGGTCTCAGACAAGATATAGTAGATTATCTTAAGCTGTTGCCGAAGATGGAGGTAGGGAGAAAAAGGAGGTTCGAGGACATTCAGTTGCAGACTGCCAAGGGACTGTGCATGCAAACAGATGTACGAAGAAAGAGCGCGTGCTAGTGAAGAGTACTACCATATTAGACATGTTCGCTTCAAACGTGTCACTTCATGCGTGTTTCCCACACATTACGCAATCTTCTCCGCCATAGCCTCTCTACATATTCCATGTCGTTCTCTCCTGTTCATTATTCCAGATTTGCTACTGTGGTGCGACATCTATTGAGCTTACGTAAATAGCAGAGTGATTCAAGCAGAGGGTATATGGCGGAGAAGATTTATACCTATTCACATGTCAGCTAGCGTCATTGATAGCTGATATGGATAGGAAGGTATTTCCACGGGAAGACCTCAGTCTTCATTCCACTCCCGAGACGGTCCCTGAAGACCTCGTTCAAGTCTCCCTGTAATTGACAGCTTGAATTTAGTCAATAGAATGCTAAATGCCAACCGTTCAATCATCAACGCCCATAGAGTCACCCCTTTGCTACAATAATGAATTATCCAGAGGCGTATAAAGCGTCGCGATCATGTTCCTCTTAGTTTTCCTATACACAATCTAAAATCTTCATCATACAAGCAAGCCCATAGCAAAGCACGTTGACAACCAATCTAAAGCATTCTCGTAATCCATACTCACAACAAGCTTAATATCGAAAAAAATGCCCATAAACCCTGATCAAAACGCTTACCAAGACCGACACTACTACCAACGCCACGACATGAGTTCTATGCCGAGACAGGGCCTTATGCTTCCTCGCATAATGACAGAGCGACAGGGCGAGGGCGATAGAAGACACTACATTCGCAACCCGCAGTCGAGAAGACTACCTTCAATGAATAGACAAGGCTTGTTATGGAGGGGATACAATCATGGTTCTCTGGAGCCCCGTGGTTGGTACTGATGGGTTTTGACGAGATGAAGAAGCAAATGAGAAAAGACCTTCGAACGAATTCTTGAACAGGGAAGAAGAGGGGAGGACACAGTGACTTCTGTACAGTTTTAATGGGCGCGTACTTATCTTGCAGACAGTTACTCGTTGGAGTGATCTCTTCGCTTGCGCTATTTTGTATGCTTGCCATCCAAGTCATCTGATGCCTTGTGTAGCAAAGCCCGCCTGCTTGGTGAATGCAGGGCTAGTGTCATGCCTTCTTTGAATGCTAATTGTCTGCCTCTCACGTATGCAGTTGCTTCTCTTGGCGGAGAGACTTTCATCGGCCGGAATGCAGATGGAGGACGTGGGGGAGTACAATGCGATCGAACGCAGAGTGAGTCCATGTACACAATAGTGAGTACGTCTTCCCTCGACCACACAGCCCATAAAACCGCATGTCAGAGCTGCCTGAGCAGCTGGTACCAAGCAAAAGATCGCTCACCGAGTACCCGAGACCCTCACTCATCGCGATGAAGCGTAGCAAGAGACACCAAGTGTTCGATAATACCACTACATCAAAGAGAGAAACTAAACACCTCTTAGAACAGAGTACTTCTTCCTACTACAATAAAGCGTATTAGGATATAAATAGAAAGCTTAGAAGACTACAACGCTATTTGTCTTTATAGGTTTTCTTATTATGAGACAATGTAGACTGTAAGGTATACCTTATTATTTGTGTATCTGTCTAGTTTTTCCTTGTATGAGGTAATACAAGACCCGATCGTCAACGTCTCGGTAGAGTTTGGCTGAGGCAGAAAGAGGCAGTCCTAGCGTTGGCGGGAGCGAAATCGACGATGACGTTTCTACAGGAAAAAAACCGTCGACTGCACAGGTCGTTGGGTGGCCCACCGCAGGGCTTTCTCCATCGAGACCCCAACTCCATCGATCCCGGCCCCCACACCTTCCAAATCACAGTGGATAGTAGATACACATGCGACACAAGCATTGCCCTCTTACATCTCGTATCGCGCAAAGATATTGACCGGCACCTCGCCATCATGCGCAACACACATGCGTCCGCGCAGCAGCACCATACACTACACCAGCCGCCACAGCCAACGGGGATAACGGCGTGGGTATAACAACGCCAAGAGACCCTTGTGGCTAATGTCCCTCAAGCGGCAGTTAGCAGCGAGCTTGGCAATAAGCTTAAGAAGTTGTTGCATGTGGCTCGTGATGCTGTCTGGATTTCTTGGCCAAGTAGAGTGGGCTGGATTTTTGTAGGAATGGGGTCCGCTGCAGGGATGTACGTCATTGCAGGCTGCGTATCGGGGACCGTTGTGGAGGAATTGGGAAGGTGTGGATTGGGGCCGTTCCTGAAGGAGTGGTTTTTCTGACGGATGGGGGAGATAGGCGGTGGCCGGATGGCGCAATTTCTCGGTGGTATTTTCTTTGTGTTGTCGCATGATGACTATTTGCGATGATACTTCCCATAATGAGGCGGCCAAGATTTCATGCTTCAAAGATCTGCGGGAACTTATTCCTGACCAAAAAGGTCACGAGGATCGGACCGGAGGTGATATGGGGTGCACGATGCAAGAATGAGGCATTTGAGATTTGAGTTGATGGTTTGTTGAATTAGATAATCTGTTGAGCTTTCGACTCGCTTGCTTCGCTATACAGTGCCGGCCATATCTTGTCGTTGCGACACGAGAACATTTCCCTCATCTAAGAAAGCTCTATGCTTTATGCTGATTGCTGCCCATACCAAAGAAACTCCATGAAATGCGACGAATGTTGGTATCCGCAGATGTAATAAACCCAAACAAAGGAAATCGTAAAACCGAAAATGAAACCCAACAACAAGAAAAACCGAGCAGGAGGTTCTCATCTGTAACTCCCGATGATGATGCTTGTAATTTTGCGCATTGTGTTGATTTAAGCCATGCTTGCGACACCGTGCTTCTCGTCTTCGTTCTTCTCGAACATCTTGTCCTCAAGCCACTTGGTGGCTTTTGCGCATTGTGCGTCGACGTATGTGGTCCAGAGGTGAGCGATGGTGTATTCGACGACGAAGAAGATGGGAATGGCGAGGGCCCAGACCAACCAGTTTGTAGACCTGGGAATGTAGTGTTCAATAGCTTCGCCCTGGCCATCCTTTGGCTGCTCGACGTGGTATGGTGCAGTGCTGAATCCGTAAATCAGGCGAGCTAGGCCAACCTTCATGACCGTTCCGTGGGTAAGGTATACGGCGAAACTGTTGCGGCCAACCCACATGAAGAGCTTGTTCGAGAACATGCTCTGCAGAGAAGGCGATAGCCAGATTCCGGTGACCATCAGATCCCATCCGATAGCAGTCCAGCGCTTAGGGTAGCTTGCTGCACCCTGAGGAATAATCCAGTCTCCAATATTCTTAAGCTGAACAGACCAAGCCGACCACTCCCAGTGCTCTCCCGGGTAGCACGCCACATACCAGCCGAGGATGATGAGGAATGCGGTCGCAATACGTCGAGCCTTGACACGGCTGTTGATGAATTCGCGGAAGCTCTTCTCGGAGCCGAGATCGCAGAGAATGACACCGTAGAGGAATTGGCACTCGAAAGTTTCTAGTGATGTTAGTGATTGTTGCGAGCAAGTTCAACGATCAATACATACCCTTCTCAGGACTAGTGCGCATCCAGTACCACAGGAACAGAACCATGCAGGTAAAGAGGCGCATGCGGAACTTCATGAAGACAGTGGCGAAGAGCAAAACGTAGATGAGGAAAGCACCTTGCAGCAGAGGCAAGAGAGCCCACTGGTGGTCATCGTATTCGTTGTTGGCGCCGGACCAAGACGTCTGGAAGTTCTTGATCAATCGTGGGATTTCCGTATCAAGGCCACCGATGTTGGTAGGGACAGAACGACGGAACCAGTGAGAGTCGCTCAAGTGGGCGACCTCGAAAGCACCAATTTGGGCAAAAAACCATGCAATGACCAGAGCAATGGTTGCAGGCATAATCAGTCGCGGTGGGCGACGGAAAGCAGATTTGCCCAGTGTCTCTAACGCAGCTGGAACGTTTCCAGATTTGGCCTGTCGAAGTGGTTTGATAGCGCATACGTAACCGGTGAGAAAAGCAAACATGGTAACACCGATACGGCCTTGGAATGGTAATCGGAGGAAGGGCAGTTGCAGTAGTTGCGGTGCTGCATTCTCGTTGTCACGCGGTGACCAAAGGCTGTAGTCCCAAGCCCGGCATAAATGTGTTACGACAACCCAGAACGAAGCGACTCCACGAACACCCTATGACGGTTAGCAGACACCCATGTCTGGCTAGACTATGATAGCCTACCTCGACCCAAGTAACATTCTGGCGATTGTTGGAAGCCATCTTTCCGGGACCAGCGGCGGGTTCCAAAGGAGTAGCAAGGCTCGAGATGGTGGCGCGCGCGAGCGATAACGGGGCCTTTG